CAAACAGCTCTATGTGGTAGGGACAGTCCATAGTAATGTGGAGGAACCTGGGACCCAGAGTGGTTTGGTCACTTGCCAAAGGTCTCCCACCACAGTTATGAAGGGCAGGGCGTAAGCCCAGGAATACCTGGCTCCAGCCATCAGCACTCTGCCTGTACTTATGTATTCAGAGCTCTACCTCTGGGAGGCAGAGGTCCTGATGGGTGCCCCACAGGCCCCTCCCCAGGTTTTCCCTAATGCCAGGGTAGAGGTCACCTCCAGCCTGAGGCCCTGTGTGGTAGCCCCTTGTGTCCTGAATCCTTGGTCATTAGCTAGGAGTGCCTGGCTCAGCAGCCTACCCAGGAATGTTTTAGAGCCTATTTGCCAGGCTCACGCAGTCCTACCTAATTAGGCCATAGGCACGTGGATTTGGCAAGTGCTCTCCGCTTCTGATCGCCTGACCATTTCTGGATCTTCCCAGCTCACTGATGCTTTGTTCCTCTAAGCAGGAGGGGCGCAGAGGAGCAACCTGGCTGGGTGAATGCTGTAGAGCCAGATGATAGCTGAGTGAGGCTGGGAAGGAGGGAGGGGAAGTGTTCAGGGGGAGGGGGAGGGGCGGCCACGTCCTCCGTCCAGAATAAGGAGGGAGGCAGTTCTGGAGCCAAAGGACAAGGCGAGTTCAGCATGACTGGAAAGATCTCTTAGGAGTCTGGGTCCAAGGTGACTTTGGGAAGGCTGAAAATGGCCCAGATGCCTGACCTGAGGCCCTGGGGGCAGCCCCGAGGGGCCCTGCTTTTCCTTCCAAAGCCACTATGGTGCTGGGCATCTCACGCCCACTGTTGCCTCCTGGCTTTCCCCTCTCTCCTTCGTCCAGCTCCTCGCCAGCTAATCTGTGCTGCTGCTGGAAGCTGCAGTTCTCCGACAGCCTTTGATCTCCTCTCTGAATCTCTTCCCCAGGGAGAGATAAACACTTGCTTTTGTGCTCACCCAGTCACTCCCAGGCCCAACTTTCTGAGGATGAATTTTCATTTTAACTCCTGCCGGGAGCCTGCTGACTGATTCCTTCCACCACACTCCGTGCTCTCTGGGTGTGCTAGGCTCTGTGAGTTACAGTGACCGCAGCCCTGGCGGTTGTTCCCATTTCTCTGCTCCACTGAAGTTCAAGAGGAGAGGACTGAGTCTAGATTGAGAGGGATGGCAGCCATGGGTCAGGGCTAACAGTGGCTTGGCAGAGCCCTTGAGAGGAAATCAATCCATGCTCCTGGCCAGGAGCTGCTGACCTTCACCAGCTCAAGTCCACAAACAGTCCTCAAAGCTGAGAGCTTGTCAAGTCCCATATTTGTAGAAATCAGCATTCCTGTTTGGAAACTGCAGCCATACTGCAAACACACTTGGCAAGGATGCATTCCCCAGAGAGCTGTGTCCCATCAGCCCTTGGACCCAAGAGCGAAGAATTCCTGCAGGCAACCATTTTTCAAGTTGGGAGGGGGAAATAGGTCTCAGGCATTTTTAATTTTCTTCTTGAAGCCTTGCCCTGCTGTGTGTTTCTGTCTAAATTGGGCTGATTAGCAGAGTTTCCACCCACAACTTCCTCATACACATTTAAAAGGAATTCTCATCTGGCAAGTGGATCCTAACTAAATATTTCAGAGCAGGAGAAATGGGAGATTCCTCACTTACCAACCTTCAACTTTGGAAAGACCAGATGTGTTGACATGTCAATCTGTAGAAGGCTGGCGCCCACTTGTGAGAGTAAAAGGCAAGCCTGTAGCTGGACTGAGGGCTCCCCAGAGTTCAGGTGATGGGGCATCAGTGGGCAGGGGCTTCATGCCAGAGGTGGCTCTTAGGTCCACACCTTTGTTTAATCCTGACTTAGAGTAAATTTAGGGGCTGGTTGGGCACTCTAACTCCCAGGTCTAACAGTGACTTAAGGAAGAATGTGTTTCAAGTTCCAAATAATCAGCTGATAAGTGAGCTTTTGAGCATGGCCCATTTGTAAACTGGGACTGCCTATGATTTTGTGAGATTCTCTCTGGGAATCGACAGCAGATCCATTACCTAAAAGCACACAATTCTATGGGTTTTGAGGAGACTAAAGTTTTCTCAGGGAAAAAGGAATTCCATGGAACTGGGGAGGAGCTGAACACCCAGGCCTAAGCAAGGACCGGGCATTTTCTCTCTCTCTCTCTCTCTCTCTCTCTCTCTCTGTGTGTGTGTATGTGTGTGGTTTTCTCAGTGTGCCCATGCACCAGTGGGCTGGTTTTTGTTTGGGACAAATAATTGCACATGGTACAAAATTCAAAAGGACTGCAAATAGACAATCCAGTGAAAAACCTCCCTGTCCCCTCTGTCACCCAGTTTCCCTCCTAAGGGGCAGCCAAAGTTACCGGCTTCTTGTGGCTCTTTCCAGAGATTCTCTTCCCTGTGCTGGCATGTGCATATGTATGTGCTTGGATAACTTAAACAGTAGCATACCTTATGTTCTGCTCTGCAGATGACTATTCACATAGTTTGCTCCATATTGGTGTGTAAGAAGTGTCTGTTCTTTTTTGAAGCTGCATAATATTCCATTATGTGCATAAACATGACTTAATTTAACCTGTTCCATGTTGATGGACGTTTAGTTTGTTTCCAGTCTTTTATATTTACAAACATCCTACAGCAAACAACTTTGTAGATATGCTAGTTCACAAAAATGACAGTGAATCTGTAGGGTAGTGTCCCAAAGTGTAATTTTTAAGTCCCTTTCTCCAGGCCAAAAGATGCCATTCGAGCCCTGAAGAAGCGGCTGAACGGGAATCGGAACTACAGAGAAGTGATGCTGGCATTAACAGTGAGTGCTGCCCTCCAGTGGGTGGGAGAGCATCTGGGAAAATCCATGCCCCCGACCTTGCCCACTCACAGGGCCTTCCCTCTGTCCACTCAGCAGTCTCTAGCATGTGGCATTGCATGGCTTAATGTGTGTGCCACTAGAGTCCAGTGGAGCCTTCCCTTAGCACCCTTGGGTTTTCCTACCTCCTTTGAAATGGGGCATGAACTTCAGTCTGGTGTATACCAGCAGAAGATAAGGCATGGGCAACACTGACTGTACAGAAGCTCAAAGCAGAGAAGCCAGAGAAGCCTGGGTGTCTCTCCTGGCCACCAGCCTGCTGTGAGACTCTGGGCTAGTTTCTTCTCTAGGTGTCAGTTTCCTCTGTAAAATGCTAACTTCCACCCCAGTACCTGCCCTCTGCTGAGCTTTTCAGATGTTAATTCACATGTTTACAATAACTTTCCCAAATATGTTTCATCATCCCTCTCACCAGGATTAAAAAAACTGAGGCTCAGGCAGGTCCAGGGGTTTGCCCAGACTTCACAGCTAGTGAGGACCCAACTGTGGATTTCAGAGTAAAAAGTGATCATCACTGGGAGGTTCTTGAAAAAGTCAGCCAAGGGACTCCTGTCAGGAAGGGGCAGACCAGATTTTTGCCCTTCCTTAATATGTCAGAAAATTCAGAGGGACAACTTCAGGTGTTACTTCTGTCTTAAAAGCTAACAGTTTTCAGATGTGACAAAATCTAGGCCACAGTGAATAAATTCTTTTTTAAAATATTTTTTTAATTTTTAAATTACAGTTGACATACAATATTATTTTAGTTTCAGGTGTACAACCCTGTAATTAGACATTTATATAACTTACAAAGTTATCACCCTGATAAATCTAGTACCCATCTGACACCATATGTAGTTACTACAATATTATTACCTATATTCCCTGTGCTGTGCGTTACATCCCCATGACTGTGCTGTAACTACCAGTCTGTACTTCTCAATCTCTTCACCTTTTTCCCCAACCCCCTCCCATCTGGCAACTATCAGAATGTTCTCTGTATCTATGAGTCTGTTTCTGTTCTGCTTGTTCATTTATTTTGTTTTTTAGATTCCACATATAAATGAAATCATCTGACATTTGTCTTTCTCTGTCTGACTTATTTCACTCAGCACAATACCCTCTAGGTCCATCCACATTACTGCAAATGGCAAGATTTTATTCCCCTTTATGTCTGAGTCATACTTCATTATATATATGCAGCACATCTTCTTTATGAATTCATCTATTAACAGACACTTAGGTTGCTTCCGTATCTTGGCTATTGTAAATAATGCTGCAGTAGACATATGGATGCATATATCTTTTCGAGTTAGTGTTTTGTGTTTCTTCAGACAAATACCCAGGAGTGGAATTGCTGGGTCTTTCTTTGTCTCGTGTTGTAGCCTTTGTTTTAAAGTCTATTTTTTCTGGTATAAATATTGCTACCCCAGCTTATTTTTGTTTGTTTCCATTTTCATGAAATATCTCTTTCCATCTCTTTACTTTCAGTTTGTTTTGTGCATCTTTCAATCTGAAGTGAGTCTCTTGGAGACAGCATATGTAAGGGTCTTATTTTGTTATCCATTCAGTCACCTTATGACTTTTGATTGGAGCATTTAAAATAATTGTTGATAGATATGTATTTATTGCCATTTTATGATTCATATTTTTTATCTTTTTTTTCTTCTTCTTCTTAAAGAAGACCCTTCAACATTTCATGTAACACTGGCTCATTGGTAATGAACTCCTTTAGCTTTTTCTTGTCTGGGAAGCTTTTTATCTGACCTTCAGTTCTAAATGTTAGCTTTGCTGGGTAGAGAAATCTTAGTTGTAGCTTCTTGCTTTTCATCACTTTGAATATTTCATGCCACTCCCTTCTGGCCTGCAAGGTTTCTGTTGAGAAATCAGTTGGCAGTCGTATGGACACTCCCTTGTAGGTTACTAACGCTTTTCTCTTACTGCTTTTAAGATTCTCTCTTTGTCTTTAACCTTTGACATTAAAAAAAAAAAAAAATTAATTTTAATTTTTTAAATTTTTGTTCAAAATATTACAGATGTCCCCTTTTCTCCCCAGTGACCCATTCCATTCCACATCCACCTCCCTCCCCAGTCCCTCTCTACACTATTGTCTGTGACCTTGGGTTGTGCATATATGCATATAAGTTCTTTGGTTAATCTCTCCCCCTCCACCCATCCGCCCTCCTCCATCCCTTTGAGATTCGTCAGTCTGATCCGTGCTTCCATGTCGTTAAATCATTTCTGTTTATCAGTTTATTAAGGTCTTTAGATTCCACATATAAGTAAGAACATGTGATGTTTGTCTTTCTCTGCCTGGCTTATTTCGTTTAGCATAATATTCTCCTGGTCCGTCCATACTGTCCCAAAAAGTACAATATCCTTCTTCTTTACAGCTGCATAGTATTCCATGGTGTAAATGTCCCACAGCTTTTCTGTCCACTCATCTACTGATGGCCGCTTGGGCTGTATCCAGATCTTAGCTATTGTAAATTGCACTGCCATGAACATAGGGGTGCATATATTCTTTCTGATTAGTGTTTCAGGATTCTTAGGATATTTTCCTAGAAGTGGGATCACTGGGTCAAAAGGCAGCTCCATTTTTAATTTTTTGAGGAAACTCCATACTGTTTTCCATAGTGGTTGCACCAGTCTGCATTCCCACCAGCAGTGTAGGGTTCCCCTTTCTCCACACCCTCGCCAGCACATGTCATTTGTTGATTTGTTGATGGAGCCATTCTGACAGATGTGAAGTGATACCTCATTGTGGTTTTAATTTGCATCTCTCTGCTGATTAACAGTGTTGAGCATTTTCTTATATGTCTCTTGGCCATCTGTATGTCCTCTTTGGAGAAGTGTCTATTCAGATCCTTTGCCCATTTTTAAATTGGATTGTTTGTCTTCCTCTTGCTGAGTAGTATGAGTTCTTTGTACACTTTGGAAATTAGCCCCTTATCAGATACATCCTTGGCAAATATTTTTTCCCAGACTGTGGGGTTCCTTTGTATTTTGAGGCTGTTTTCTTTTGCTGTGCAGCAGCTTTTTAGTTTGATGTAGTCCCATATGTTTATTTTTTCTTTTGGTTCTCTTACCCTAGGAGATGTATCAGTGAAAATTTCACTACACGAGATGTCTGTGACTTTACTGCCTATGATTTCTTCCAGGATTTTTATAGTTTCTCAGCTTACATTTAAGTCTTTTATCCGTTTTGAGGTTTGTTTTGTGTGTATGGTAACCTTTGACATTTTAATTATGATGTGTCTTGGTGTGGGTCTCCTTGGGTACATCTTGTTTGGGACTTTCTGTGCTTCCTGGATTTGTGTATCTTTTTCCTTCACCATGTTAGGAAAATTTTCTGTCATTTTTTAAAATAGGTTTTCAATTCCTTCTTGTCTCTCTTCTCCTTCTGGTATCCCCATGATGTGAATATTGGTACATCTAATGCTGTCCAAGAGGCACCTTAAACTATCCTAATTTTTTGTATTCATTTTTATTTTTGCTGTTCTAATTGGGTGTTTTCTGCTACCTTATGTTCCAAATCACTGATTCAATCCTCTGCTTCATCTAATCTACTGTTGATTCCTTGTAGTATATTCTTCATTTCAGTCATGTAATTCTTCATTTCTGACTGAACCTTTTTTGTTTCCTATTTCTATTTTTAAGTTTTCTATCTCTTTGTTGAAGTTCTCACTAAGTTTCTCTACTTTTTCCCTAAGTTCATTGAGTATCCTTATAACAAGTGTTTTGAACTCTGTATCTGGTTTATTGCTTGTCTCCATTTTATTGTTCCTTTTCTGGAGTTTTGTCCTGTTCTTTCACTTGGGACTTGTTTCTTTTTCTCCTCCTTTTGACTGCCTCCCTGTGTTTGTTTCCATATATTAGATAGAGCTGCTACATCTCAGGAATTGGTAGGGTGGCCTTATGATATAGCGGGTGTTCTGTAGGGCCCAGTGGGGGCAGCCTCCCCACTCACCTGAGCAAGGTGCTCCACGTGCACTCCTGTGAGGGCTGTATGCACCCTCCTGTTGTAGTTGAGCCTTGATTGCTGTTAGCATGTCATTGGGAGAGATTGACCTCCAGGCCTATGGCTATGAGGACTGGCTTCAACCACAGTGGAGAATCAGCAGTGCAAGGGCCAACCCCTTGGAGTAGATCTCATCTCAGCAAGCTCAGGTACCTGCCAAGTCCACCTCTTGAGCGTCGCTCATGGAGGTGATTGGGTGGTGCTTCCATGTGATCTGAAGGTGTCCACTGGGTGCGGTGGCTCTGAGGCCTTCTAGGAGGTGCAGGCCAAGGTCAGCTGCCACCTGTGACCTGCCCGAGACCACTGGCATGAGCTACAAAGTGATCCGCATTTGGCGGCTACTTGTGCTGGGCTAGAGGTGCCCGGGAGAGGCCAAGCTGTGAACCAAGGCTGGCTGCCACTAGTGCCAGGCCTGGGGCCACTTAGCAAGAGGTACGGGGCTTCCTGAGGCCAGATGCTGCTTGTTTGAGAGATTTTAGGAAGGATGGCAGCACGAGCCAAGACAGTCTGTTGGTATGGAAAGTACACTGGAAAGATTTGGGGGGGAACCTGAAAGTTGGGTGGTGCGGGGTCTCAGAATCACCAGGACGGGGTGAACAGTGTGAGCCAGGTTGATGGAGACTCAGATATTGGGACCCATCTGCCATCTCTATGGGGGGAGGGCTCATGAGTGATGGCCTCTGCCAGCACTTCTGTCTGGGAGAAAGCTGCCCCTTCAGCTCTTGCCCTGATGCCAACAATTCAGTTCCAACTCATATGCCCCCGGTGTCTTTTGAGCTGCTGCCGCTGCACTGGAGCTCTGAGTGAGTGAGTCTGCGTAAGGGCCTCCGTCTCACTCAGCCACAATCTCTGCTGATTTGTACAGCCAGAAGTTTTGGGGAGTTCTCTTCCCAGCACTGGAACCCTGGGCTGGGGGCCTGGTGTGGGGCTGGGACCCCTGGCT